TATTCTACCCCGAACCCCGGGTCGGGTCGGGTACGGGTATAGTAGAAAAACCCGCTACCCGACCCGATTACCCTACCTGTTTACCCGCAACCATTGAATATTATATATACACATATATATGTATTTATAAATTATTATAAATATAAAAGTAGTCATGTGTTATTAGTATAAAAAATAAATTATTTATTATAAGTTTGATTAATGGTTAATTTTTTTATGATTTTATAATCACTTTTTGTTAATTGTATGATAAAAAAATTTAAATACTTAATTTTTAAATATAATATTATTAAATTGACTATACAAGATAAATAATTATATCTCATTATTTATTCCAAAAACAATATAATAGTTTTTTGTAGTTTTATTGTCGAACTTAGTTAATAAATTGTTTGTTACATTATAATTAATTGTGAAATTATTTTATTTTATTTTTAATATGAAACGAGATGGATATAGTAAAGCCTAAATTAAAAAACTCGGGTTACTCATTTACCCGAAAAAAACCCACTAACCCGCCGGGTAAAACCCAACCCGAACCCGACGATCACCAACCGGGTAACGGGTCAGGTTTGGATATGGTAAATTACATGCGGGTCGGGTTCGGGTTTGTCAAAACCCGTACCCTACCCGACCCATTTACATCCCTATTAAGGAGGTACTAAATATGGGCTTATCCCACTAGGATTAGGAATCCTAATCATGCTCTATATCCTATCTCATCTAAGAGTCCTATTCCTCCTAGTGTTGTAAATGAACCGAATCGAACCGAGCTTGGGCTGTTCGAGCTCGTGTTCGTTCGTTTACTTTTCGAGCAAAAAATTGTGTTCGATCTCGTTCGTTTAATTGTTTGTCAAAGTTCGAGTTCGTTCGTGTTCGAATAGTTTAATACATAAACTTTTAAATATGTTTGATCAACTGGAAATTTGTTCGTTTCAACTCATTCGAGATTGAATATAAAATAATAAAATAAAAATATTTTTATAATTTAGTTCTTTATTAAAAATACTATGTAAATATCTAAAAAAATAAAAGGAAATATAGTAAATTGTATATTTTTATTATAAATATTATATAAATATATAAAAATATAATAAAATTATATTAAATTAATGTTCGCGAACATAATTGAACGTTCACGAACGAGCTCGTGTTAGTTTGATTATTAAACGAGCCTAATTTTCTATTCGAACTCGGCTCGATCAACAAATGAACGAGCTTTTGTCTAACACTAACAAGCTTTTGTTCGTGAATGCTCGGTTCGTTTACAGCTCTACTCCTAACCCTTATTACCTTCTTGAAGACTCCATAGTCTTCTAACCCGAGGTAATATTTTAAAAGGAATATTCCTCTCCTCATGCAATCTAAAATATGGAAATAATTAATTCCTAAATTCTTAATTAGAACTAAATAATAAAACATCCCACTAGGGTAATATTATTGCTCTCCCCATTTAGCTCCAATTTATTCAATAAATTTGAACATCCAAATGATTATTAAATATTAATCTAATTGATTGATTTGTCTCCCTATGTTTAAGATATAATGTCCAACATTTAATTTAATTACTGACAATTAAATTAAATTGACTTTTTTTATTACCGAAATTAGTACCACTCAGTTCATTAATCATTATGTTGGATAATCATCACCTGCACGGTTTGACAAAATATTTCTTCTTGAGCTCATCTCAGAGACGTCATCAACCCAGCGCACTGTGACATAATGACTGTAAATAATTTATAACTACACATCATAAAATATTCCTTCTTGAGCTCATATTGGAGACGTCATCAACCCAGCGCACTGGGACATACTGACTGTAAATAATTTATAACAACACATCATACAAATACTCTTGCTTACCAAAATACCGAGTACGTCATTCTAACGGAGTAGGAATCACCACTGGTAAATCAAATAATTAAGTAATTAATATATATGCCCATTTTATATTATCTTACAGCTTAAGAGTACGCATCAATTATTGAAGGTCTAGATTATAATTACCACGGTCAATAAATCTTATAATCATCCTTCTGCGGTCTATGAAATACTTATCATAAGTACTAGTGTAATTCATCAGTTAAAGATCAACTGAATCAAGACCACACTACAGTTTTTTTCCCACCATGGGTCTCATTGCCTGTCTAAACTGTGAACACTTAATTTATATTTTACAAGGAACTGATAATATGATCTTTCTGTTCGACAGTGTGAACCATATTATCTACAATGTAAAATAACGGAGTTATGATTGCATAAATAAATAAACTTCCAACATAAATACATTGACTAAAACACGATTGTCATATCAAATTGGTATTGTTTATATCTGAAATCTAAGCTTTTACAGCATATCTAACACTATCTACTCTTCACGAAGTTGTGTTACCAAAATGTAATACATAATTCGTCCATTCTTTAACAAACTTCTCCTTGTGGACTAACCATGTCTTCTCCACTTATTGTAACACATGTTGAACCTTCGTGTATTTTACATACAGCTCAGCAACGACATTGTTGTATTCATCCATCGTACTCGCTTCGACAATCTTCTTCCACCTACCATGCGTGAACTTCTGAGAGAATAGCTTATTTTTTCCAAAGAGTCGATAGACTCTGTCTTCCCCATCTTTGTTGATGTGCCACGTGCAAAGTAAGTGGGCAGCTTCGGGAAAATATCTCTGAATAGAAGTAATCAAACCCAACTCCCTATCAATGACAATGGAAGTAGGATGTACCTCATACCCTCTCAGAAGTCTCAACTTCTGTAGAACCCAGTCATAACTGTTCTTGATATCAACCTTTAAAATGACATATGCAATTAAGAAATTCTAGTCGCACGGAGTCATCCCAATCAATTCCACCAACGACATCCGATACATGTGCAAATGAATGTGCAAATGAGAGCAACAAGGGAAAACATCAAATCATAAAACATAATCAAACATATTAATTACGATTCATACAAATTTTTTATTTATAAAATAATGTACTTGTTTGTTTTGTACGATGAATCTATACCGACGTACCAGTAATATTTCTGGAATAGACTAACTGATTGAGGATGCGCCATGAACAGACGTGTCAACGCCTGGGTGTCCCAATCGACATCTGTATAAACTATATAATTATTTTCCCTATCCAAATGCAGACGCTAAGAAGTCACGTCTCTACCCTCGAAACTATCTCTCCGCAATTTCTCTCTATAATTATACACATGTTGGCGAGTGGCATTGTCTACCGGGTTTTTTTCCTGGATCACAGCTAAAATTTGTGCCCGTTTTGTCATATCACGAACAATCTTCTTAGATGAAGCGCTAAGTCCGCTCGCATGTCGATGAACCTCAGGATACACAACAAGTGTATGATTATGCTTTCCCTTCTTAGCATTAGAACTTACACAGAAGCTCCAATATGCTCTTGTTTTTGCGTTTACTTTGACTTTTATCTCAAAAGGGCACTAACCCGCTTTAGTTTTTGTACGACGGGAAATAGCCTGATCTGCATCTCGTATTTTTCCTCTGCAACGTTCCCCTCGCCAACACTTCAAAACCTTCACCTTTCCTCCTTTTGTACGTTTCGAAATAACCAATTCGAAACCATACATAAGTGCAATCTCTTTTGCCAGTGAATGACTACGGAATCAGTAAGAAATTGCATATCTGTAACGAAACCAACACTGTAATCAATATCGTACCCTTCAAAATCTTCCAAGGACACTTGCAATATAGTACGATCTCCTTTTACAAGATAATAAATTATAATCTATAACATAATAATTTCTAACCTCTTACATGATATTAATAAATTTTTATCATAAGATAATCAATTCTAACCAATAACATAACGATTTCTAAATTCTAACATGAAAATATATAATTTCTAATCTGTAAGATAAATAGTTTCTAACTTCTAACATGATATTATTAAATTTTAATTATAAGATAATCATTCTAGCATATAACATAATGATTTCTAACTTCTAACATGACAATATATAATTTCTAATCTACAAGATAATAAATTCTAATATAACATAATAATTTATAACTTACCTCTAACATAATAATTTCTAACTTCTAACATTATATTAATAAATTATAATTATAAGATTATTAATTCTAACCTATAACATAATATTTTTCTAACTTCTAACATGATAATATCTAATTTCTAAGCCATAACATAATTAATTTATAACATATAAAAAATAAATAATCTAATTTCTAAACTTTTCAAAAAAAAAAAAGCAATACAAAGTAATTAAAATAAATTAATAAAAAAATTTTGCCCGGTCGGACAAACCGGACAGACAAGGTGTTGTCCGGTCGGTGACTACAGACATCACTGGAGTCGTCCGGCCGGCCTGTTAGGACGCGCCTGGTCGCGTCCGGCCACTAAAGAGAGGCGTGCATTGGCTTGTCCGAACAAACCGGTCGGATAAAGCCGATCGGACATCAACATGTCCGATCGCAATTTCCGGTCGGACGGCCGAAAAATGTACCTCACTCGAAGATATATTTTTTTTTGCTGGAAATCGCCTAATCCAAAAGATTTTACAATTTTCTAAAATTTTTGAAGAAATGAGAAGGACAAAATAGTTCAAGTGGAGCGGTGCGTAGTAATAAGAGAGCGATGAATAGCAATTCACTTTAAAAATCAGTTTATAGATTAAAAAAAAAAAAACTATTCCAAAAACTATTAACCAAATGTATTAAAATTGAATGTTTTAAAAGTCAAACAATCATCTATTGTGCCTAAACCGCTAACTTGTGGCCAAAACGCCATTTAAAAAAAGATGGCCTTTATATTATATAAATCTCACCCATCCCTCCATTATTTCATGACCTAAATATATTATATAAATTTCACCCATCCCTACATTATTTCAAGACCTGAATATAGTAAATAAACAAGCCCGTGACGACATATAAATATATTTAGCCCCAAAAATGATTCAAATTAATCATACTGATCAATAAAACAGAGATCTCATGGTGATCCTCTCCCAAATGATCAAAAGGGCTTTCGATCTTCTTCTCTTTCCTCAATCTGACTCTTACTCCTCTCATATCATCGACTCACACACTCTGACGCGTGTCACCGGCTACGGCCAAGATCTCGACCAATGTTCCGTTTGTCTGTGCAGCATAAGTCCGGGTGAAGTCATCAGGGAGCTGAAAAACTGCGGCCACGTTTTCCACGCCGCCTGCTTGGAGAGATGGCTCGGACACGGGCACTGGACCTGTCCCCTGTGCAGAAACCACGTGACCCGCCGGCTCGTTTTCCCTCACCAGGATTCCGGTCATCAACCTCGGGAGGTTTTGGTTTTCAACTTCGGTCATGTCGATTCAGTTGGTAATAAAAGCTCGTGGTGGCTGAGGTGATGGCATTTTTTGGACTGGAAAACGTTGTTGTAGTATTTTTATATGGTTAGTTATCATATTATTGTTATTATTTGTTGATTCTTGTCTCTGACTCTTTTGCGCATCATGTCAGGATTAGATTGTTTTGTGGGATAGTGTTGGAAAGTAATGTGCCGATTGCTTGTTAATTTCAGATTTATGTTTTGAATAATTTTGGATATGTAGTCATAGGCTATGTTCGGTAAAATTAGCTGATAATCTGACTGATAGCTGATAAGTTGGGTGATAGGTGATAAGCTAACTTATAGCTTATCAGTAGTTTTTTAGCTTATAACTTATAGCTTATGACTTATAGCTGATAAACTAGCTTATATGATAAAAGTGTTTGGTAAAATTAGCTGAAAAACTAGCAGAAATATAAAATTCAACTAGCTTATTTGAAAAGCTACCTAAGGAAGCTTATCAATAAGCTCGACCTTTTTAAAAAAGCTTGTCCTACCAAACCAGGCTTATTTGAATATAGGAAACTTATAAGCTAACTAAATAAACTATAAACTAGCTTATTTGTCTACCAAACATAGCCTTAATCGTTTATTCCTTTTTCTTGATAAGACATTTCGATGATTTGTTTTTAACAATTTTAATTTGGATATTTAGTCCCAATCATTTATGTTATTTTATTTTTTCTTCATAATACATGTATTTTAGAAATTGTTAGGAATTTAGAAATCAATATTGAATACTTTATTTTTTATTTATTTTAAATACCTACAAAACAAAATTATCTCAACATATGATAAATTAACACAATTGAGTCTAAATAATAATATTAATATATTATAAAGATAACATGATAACAAAATAATGTAATTAATATTTAAAAGATATCTGAAAAAAATGACGTCGAGCCTATCGAGGAGCGCATCGTCCCACCTAATAGATTTATGCAAATAGGAGGCGGCCAGGTAGCGTCTAGCCTAGGCGGCCGCATAGGACAATCATTAATACAATGTCATACATATATTTTCATAGCATCTCATTTATTTCAAATTTAAAAGCTAAAATTTGTTAATAATTTGCTATATGTTGAGGACAACAAAGACTTAAAATTCAAATAACATGGACAAATCTATTATCTTCCACGTCTAATGTAATAATTAAAATTATGTTAAATTGTACCCTGCTCAATATTTATTTTTGATATATATCTAAACCAAGAAAGATTAATGATATGAAAGTATATCTATCGATACTAGTACGTAGCCCGTACGTTGTACGGGTGATATGGGATAACCACATTAGGTCGACCAGACCGGAGAGGCAACCAAATCGAACCGGCCTAACTAGCGGGTCAAAGGAAACAAGAGGATCACTCAGGTCCAAAGATCTTCTGGTCGAAGAGAGTATTGAAGGTCAGAAGGTCAAAGGTCATAAGGAAAGGACATCTAGTCGAATGATCGACGAGCAAGACAACAGCGTCCTGGGACACCTTGAGGTGATGGCTGAGATGATGGCATTTTTTGGTAATAAAAGCTCGTGGTGGCTGAGGTGATGGCATCTTTTGGACTGGAAAACATTGTTGTAGTATTTTTAAATGATTAATTATTATATTATTGTTATTATTTGTTGTTTTTCTTGTCTCTAACTCTTTTGCGCATCATGTCAGGATTAGATAGTTTTGTGGGATAGTGTTGGAACTTGTTAATTTCAGATTTATGTTTTGAATAATTTTGGATATGTAGTCTAAGAGCATCTTTAGTAAAAAAAACCTCATAAATCTCTATAAATCTCACTTTTACATTTTTCAATATGTCACATCATCAAAAATTTCATTCTTACTCCTACATCCATAAACCTCCAATAACAATAAACTTCGTAAACCTCATTTTTCATGGATCCACATGTTTCCCACTTACTTTTAATTAATATTATACTCATATATTTTTATTTATATTTTAAAACTATAACTCTTACTTTATTTATTAAATATAAATATTTTATATTTATCAAAATACGTATAAAAAATATATAATTACATATAATTATATTTTATTATTTGTAATTACTTTTTTTCTTTCATACTATTCATAAGTAACAGTTTTCATATATGCTCTACACTATATATGGTTTATAGTGTACATTTGCACTGAATCATATATATAATTATATATATGGTCTGTATATAATTATATTGCATTATATATATTGTTAAAAACATATGAATATATAGTTTTACATATTCAAATTACGAAACATCTAATTTTGAGTATATATATTTTATTCTAAATATTAACCTTGGGTAGTCTAAGTAAAATAATTACATCATAGAATTTTTTTTGGGTGTTGTCAAGGAAAAAAAAAACTAGTTGGGAGAAATATTTATTACCTAATTGCAATTTAAACAAACTTTTTGTTACTACATTAAAATTCATTAAAAAAATAAAAATAAAATAAAACTACATCACAAAAGTGGCATTCACTGCCATGTAGAATAGAAAACATTAAAAAATAAAGAAAAATGACCCACACAAGAGGTTTACAATAGGTTTTGGTTTGCAAACCTCACGTGCAAACATAAACCTCAAACCCCTCCAATTTAGTGGTAAAAGTTGGGGAGGGGGTTTATAAACTTGGAGAAAACCTCCCCACTAAAAGATGCTCTAATCGTTTATTCCTTTGTCTTGATAAGACATTTCGATGATTTGTTTTTAACAATTTTAATTTGGATATTTAGTCCCAATCATTTATTTATTTTTCTTCATAATACATGTATTTTAGAAATCGCTATGCGTGGACTAGAGTCTAGCACATAGGCGGGGCTTATATATGTTAAGTCTAGCCGTAATCTAGAAATCAATATTAAATACTTTATTTTTTATTTTTTTTAACTATCTACTTTATATATGTTAAGTCTAGCCGTAATCTATAAATCAATATTTATTTTAACTATCTAGCCGTAATAATTTTAATATATTATAAAGGTAACATGATAGTGAAATGATGTAATTAATATTTAAAAGAATAACTGAAAAAATATCGTCGAGCCCGTGGAAGAACGCATAGTCCCACCTAATCGATTTATGCAAATCGGAGGCGGACAGGTAGCGTCTAGCCTAGGCGGCCGCATAGGACAATCATTAATACAATTGAATCGCTAAATACAACAGTTATTTTGCTAATTCTACACCCGGAAAATACCGTTTTCCCTTACAACACTTATAAAAAAAAAAATATTCTAAACTCTTACAAAAAAATTCAAAAAATAATTTCAAAAAATGGCCGAACGGGAGAAGAGCATAAGGAATTACGAGGTTATTTTTTTAAAATGATTTAACTCGAAAATAATTTTTTTGAATTTTTTTTTTTTTTGGCCGCGCCGCAATCGCGGCGGCCTTTTGATTGGCCGCGGCCGCAGGCCGCCCAAGCGCGATCGTCCAGCGCGGCCGTTTACGCGGCCGCAAGGCGCAGGCGGCGGTCGAGTTTGATTTTTTTAAATAAAAAATGATAATAAATATTAATATATATATATATATATAATTTAAATACTTATAAAATATAAAAAGATTTTAAAAATAAATAATAAAAATATTATAGCAAATATCTTTTGCTTTTTTTATTTTTTTTCTTTTTTTTTAAATGTAATTTTAAAAAATATATTTTAATATATATAGATATATATATTTTTTTGGTTTTTTAAAACATATCTAAAAATATATAAATATATATTTATATAATATATTTTTTATATATATATATATATTATAGTCAATATATTTTTTTTCGCATTTTTTCATTTTTTCGGTTTTTTTAAATATATAAAAATATATATAGATATATATTTATTTAATATATATTTAATATATATATATATTAGATATTTAATATATTTTTTTTCTTTTAAATACATAAAAATATATATAGATATATATTTATTTAATATATATATTTAATATATATATATTATATTTAATACATTTTTTTTCGGTTTTTTTCCTTTTTATTTTCGGTTTTTTTTTAAAATATATAAAATATATATAGATATATATTTATTTAATATATATATTTAATATATATATATTATATTTAATACA